CTTCCCTTCCCATGGCACCCAGAGCGGAGGAGGGAGACACCCCTTGTGTCTTTAAGGCGTCTTCACAGCCCCCCCCCATCCCCCCCCCCCCCCGCAACTGTTAGGCCAGGGCTGCCTGTACTCCCTGTGCTCCCGGGCAGTGTCAGATGTGGGAAGAATGTTCTCCACTGTTCCTCAGCACTGCTGTGGAGACGTGGCTGCTACCCAGTCCTGGGAAGGGGCTTTGTCTGACGGGGCGTACTGTGGCTTCCCCCTCACCCTGAGGAAGGCCCGTGGCTGTTGCCTCCTCTTTACCCAGGCCTGGGCCTGTCTCACGCGTTGATGTGTGCTGTGGGGTCCGGGACTTCCGTGGGGTGCTGGCCCCTGCGGCTGCCGTCCCCGGGTGATTCCGGGTTATCTCCTCCCCTGCGTGGATGGCAGTGTTTGTGGGACAGGCGTGAGGCGGACTTTGCCCTGTGCTCAGGGCGCCTTTACACACAGGTGTGGCTCAGCACGGGGCATCCAGGGCTACAAGTGTGAGTCAAGTGTAGCCCGTACAACTGCGGCTCAGGAACTTTGACAGTGCCACGAGAAGCTGGGTAGAAGTGACGCGTGTGCCTTTGCGTTTATTACGTGGTTAAGCTGATGAGCCCCACAAGGGCTGGGATCGTTTGGAGCATGGCTAAACTTGAAAGGGCCCCTCAGCGTGGACAGAGCAGTCCTCTGCACATCCACACAGCCCGTGGCCTCCCATCAATCCCAGGAACACCAGGTACAGGACACAGGACAGGCCTCTCATTCATCCTAGCCACTTGGAGTTCAAGTCCAGCCTGGGCAAAGGAAGCAATACCCTATCTCAAAACTGGAATTAAATGTGGGGTTAGAGGTCTGAGTATATAGTTCACATGAGCACTTGTGTAAATGAAGTTTGGGTTCCACCCCAAAGACAAAAACTTAAAACACCAGACTTGCTGTGACTGTTTTACTAATGCTGCTCTCCCCTGCCCCCCCCTTTCCATTGTGTAGTTAGATTAACAAATTACTTTGGTAGATAATATTGGATGGACAATGAAAGGACTTTTTCAAAGCTAGAAGTTTTCAAATGTAAACACCTTAACAGAAAAGCTACATGGCCTCTCTCCACATTCCAAAGGAGGAAGTGGGTTTATCATAGGCCTATTTTTGGCCGTCTCAGCCGGAAAACAGTGTGGAACCCACTGACCTCAGCAGCGTCTCTGGGGAGCTGCGGGGATGGGAGTTGTGGGGAGACTTGATGTTGCTGTTGGGCAAGCCCAGGACCACCTCCCCGGGAGCTTCTGGTTTCTGCCTGCAGGTTCAGAGCCGCCCTTCCCAGAAATCTTTGTTCTGCAGTGGTTCAGGGACTGAGGTCCCCGGCAAGTTAGTGTGGGCTCCGATTCTGATGAGCCCAGTCAGACATGAGATGCTTGTTTGGGTCTGGGGGCTGCTCTGTGGAGCATGGGTTCCTGGCTGGTCTCATGTTCTCCCTTCTTGAACTGGCCGATCCTTCCCTGGGGTGGTCTGAATCTCTGGAGGTCTTTGCACTTGTGAACCTCTGCCTTACATTTCACAGGAAATCGAGTGGGCTTTGTGCAGATGTTGATTGCATGTCTTAGCTATTTGGGCTTTTCCCCACAGTTAGCTTTTTGTTGTGTTTATCTTGTCTGCCGGAGAGTTTGAGTGTCTTTCCTTTATTATCAGATCTTTTTTTCTTTCGACAATATTATTTTTAGTGTATGAACTTTTCTGTGGATCATTGTAGCATTGAAAGTTCAAGTCCATAGGATTTACTCTTTCCAAGATCGCATCCCTCTTGCCTTTAAAAGAGAGATGTTTAGACCAGGCACTGGTGGCTCATGCCTGTAATCCTAGCTACTCAGGGGGCTGAGACCTGAGGATCATGGTTCAAACCCAGCCCGGACAGAAAAGTCTGCGAGATCTTATCTCCAATAAAGCACTAGAAAACCGGAAGTGTTGCTGTGGCTCCAGCAGTAGTGCGCTCGCCTTGAGCTGAAGAGCTCAGGGACAGCACTCAAGCCCAGAGTTCAAGACCCATGACCAACCAAAAAGAGAGAGAGAGAGAGAGGGAGGGAGGGAGATGTTTAGAAAAGCAGTCCTTTCTGGGGGACTGTAAAGTGTTTAAGGGGGAAAAAAAAACCCTGCCAGAGTGTTTGTGGCGCCCGAGCTCAGGTGCAGGTGTTTTTCCCAACCGACGGGAAGCATCTGTCATAATGTTTGTGGAATCCAGCAGCAAGGCTGCGGGAGCTCCGGGAGCTGCCAAGCAGAACAGGCCTGAGAGCCAGTCCAGGCCCCATGGTTCTCCGGCAGAGGTGACCCAGCCCACCACACCCTCGCCTCTACCCGCTCTGAGCCGTCGGCCAGGCACTGATGTTGTGTTCTTCTTAGGCATTTAAGGACTGTGCTGAACACACTGGCAGTAACTGGTGCAGCCCGGAGCGTCACCTGAGGGAAAGCCACGTCCCACAGCAGTCTCGAGATAGCTCTGGCACGACCTAGCTCTCTGAAGGGGTTGCTGCGTTCATCAGCTGTGCCTCACAAGAAGTATGGCAAATGACCACGAAGGCACAGCGGGCCAGCGGGAGGGGATCCTACTTGCTGTGTTACAATGTTCTCTCCCTGGAAGGGCAGAGCTATCCTAAGTTGGGGAGCTCTTCGCCCTGACACTGGAGAGCCACTCTTCCCTGTGGGGCTTGTGGGTTCCCTGAAATAGAAGAGGAAATGACAGGTGCCTGGGCTGGGCTGCAGGAGTTACTCGGCCATCTTGTCTCTGGTCTGAGTGTCCTGCAGGGGGCAGCAGCCGTGTCCCCTCCCAAACTGAAGTCCTCATTCCCGGAAGGGCTGTCTGGAAGGGGAGGAGGTTCTGCTGGGTTTCAGAACTGGTCAAGAGGGTGCCCTGGGCCTGTGCCAGCCCTTCGGGACCGCTCGCGGCAGTTCGTTCTGGTTCAGGATATGTGGTGACGGGAAAGGCCGGCGTCTGTGCAGTCAGGGGCTCCGTGAACATTTTCCTGTCTTGGTGCGTCTGGGTGAGCCCAGCCTCAGGCCCGGATGCGCTGTGGGATGCCCGCATGTATCTGCGCCTTTTCTGCCTGCCAGTGGAAAGATGGCAGACACTGGCACCGTGAGGACAGTGTATGCAGAGATGCAGCATTTCACAGGCAGCGTCTTCCATTTAACCTCCCCCCACCCCACCCCTTTCGGGCATCTGGGGAGGTGGGGGTGGTGAGTTTTGGTTCCTTTGCCACCCAGCAGGGCATTTTCCCGTTGGTTTGCGCATGTACCGGGAAAACAGGAAAAGACGGTTCGGGGTTTGCGTTCCGCCTCGCGTTCACCAGGTGGGTGTTCTACCGCTTGATTCAAGCCTCTAGTCCCTTGTTATAGTTGGTCCTTTTCACAATGGAGTCTGACCAGGCTGTGGTCCTCCTACCTTTGTGCTTCCCTTCCCGGTGTCATTGGAGGTGAGAGGAACACACCATTGACTGAGTTCAAATCTGAAAACCTTCATTTTCCTTCCCTGGCCACAGTGCCCCCAATGATGCCTCCCAGGTACTGACTCCCAGGTACACGCCACTGATGGTGGCGTGGCCCCATGCGGATGCTCTGCGCAGAACGGGGGTCATCTCACCAAGCTGGTGCTCACCCGGGTGGCTCGGCTTCAGAGACAGACCCGCAGCGTTCGGGGGTGTAAAGCATGTGTGCCCCACGTTTCGTCTGGTCCCAGTGGGGGGGGGGGCAGCGTAGCACTGCCCTGCGCCTACAGTTCCTGCGCTGTAACTCCGCATCACTGCGTCCAGCGATCACCTCTTTTTCTCTGTAGTCAGGTTTGAACTTAGACCTCTGGTTAAGAGACACAGAGTGCAGCCACACTGTCCTGGATGTGATGGCCACAGATGCACATACTACCTCATTTCAAAATGTTTAGTCAGGTGCGGGGGCTCACACCATAACCTCAGTTACTTGGCGTGGGGGGGAGGGGGTGTCCCAGTCTGGCTCTGATGAAAGCTTGGAGACCCTGTCTGTACAGCAAGTGCAGTGTGACTCGTGCGAAGGCACTTGCCTGCTAAGTTGCAGAGGAGGCGGTGCGCTTCCAGACGACCATCTTTGCTGTTGTGGCAAATCGCCTGGCAGAGGGCACAGGATGGCTTTACCTCCTGGCCCAGCTGCTAGGTTCCGTAGGCACGTGTGACAGAATGGTTCGCCATCATAGGGAGAGGAAGGAATGTGGGTGTAAGCAGTGTAACCATGTGGTTCATAACCACAGCCCCCAGCTCAGGCTGCAGACCTGGCCTGCCTCTCCCAGCCCCTGGCCTGCTCGCATCCTACGGCAGGCTTTCCTTCCCTCCGCACCGTGTTTGTTCTTAGCTGTGTGTGCCGGATTAACGCTTCATCATGGGGGGATTAGGGCTGGACTGGCATCCAGGCAGTCTCCCTTGGCGGCTGTGGGGTCCATACTTGGGGAGCATGCCTGAGGGGGGGGCTGGAGGGGCTTGTCCTAAAAGCACCCCGGCAGGGGCCGCGCCGCCGTGGTGTGGGATAAGCCGCAGCTGCCGCGGGAGGCCTGGCCGGCGCAGCGCAGGCCGCCGGCTCCATCAGTCTGACGAGATGTCACATGGAACAAAAGCTTTAGGGGTTTTATTTAGCTCCTAATCCCCACACTGGGGAAGCAGAGGTCCGCGTGAGCCGGGAAGCGGACAAGCAGGCTCCAGCACCGGCTCCTTTCTGGGCCTGAGCCGGGCAGGCAGACCCCGGGGCCCGCGGCCCGCGGCCGGGTGAAGCCAGGCAAAGGGACCCTGAGTGTGCTGTTCAGCCTACTAAGGTTTCAGAGGATTAATAATTGAGGCCGGGCTTTGAAACACAAAGCGCCCGTTGGTGCTTGCAGCCATCTCGGGCGGGCCGGTGTTCTGTCGGGTCTGGTGTTGATGGATGTGGCCGAAGATTGAGAAGGAGGCCTCCTCCCTGCCTGGCCGCCGCCGAGCACCCCGCCAATGCCGGTTCCCAGCAGGCACGGCGGCGTCGGGCGCTCGCAGAGCTGGGACGCCGCCGGCTGGTACGAGGGCCCTTGGGAGAATGCGGACGCCCCGCGGGCTCCGGGGAGGAGAAGCTCCCTGACGTATGGCCCCGGAGAGGGGGGCTGGGGGGACCCGCCGAGCCACCGGGCGCTGGACGCTGCCCTGCCGGGGCCTGCCGAGCCTTTCCTCTACCGGGAGGCCTTTTACAACTCGGTGGCCACGAGGAAGGGCCCCGTGCCGGACTCGGCCTTCTACGACAGCCGCCAGGCCGCCATGACCGGCCGCAGCTCGCTCCTGCCCCAGGACTACTACGGCGAGGCGGCCCGGGGGACCCGGATGTCCAAGGAGCCTCCTCCCTATTTTCGGGACGCGGGAGTCAGCCGTGCGGTGCCCGCCTACGGAGTGCTGGGCAGCCGCGGGCCGTGGGAGCAGCTACCAGGCCAGGTGCCCGTCCTGCAGGACGCCAGTCACCTGTACCGAGATCCCGGGGGGAAGATGGGGCCTGCGGGCCCACGGCCTCCGGGGCGGTACGGGAGGGAGCTGCCCGACCCCCGGCTTGGGGCGGAGGCAGCGGCCTACCCCTCCAACCAGCTGTACAGTGATGCCGGTGAAAGGCCCGCGGACCCTGCCGCTGCCAGACAGGCGGCCCCCACCTGCCTGGTGGTGGACCCCGGTGCCGCGGCCGCCTCTGACAGCAGCCGCGGCTATGGGCCCGCGCGGGAGGCCGTCCTCCCCTCCAAGCTGCCTTACGAGTGCGCGGCCGACCTGTGCGCGTTGCCGGGCCCCGGGGGCCGGAGGAGCGTGCCGCCCGAGTTCCTGGCGCTGCTGCGGGCGGAAGGGGTGGCGGAGCCCACGCTGGCCGCCCTCCTGCAGCAAGGCTTCGACTGCCCGGCCGTCCTGGCCACCCTGGAGGACGCGGACGCCAAGGCCGTGGCGCCCAACCTGGGCCAGGCCCGCGTCCTGAGCCGCCTGGCCGGCAGCTTCAGGGCGGAGATGCAGCTCCGGAGACAGGGCGGCGCTGGGCCCCCACCCCGTGCCCGGTCCAGCAGCTTCAGCCACCGGAGCGAGCCGCTGCCCGGGGACCCCGCCCTGCAGGCCCAGCTGCCGCCGGGGCCCCTGCAGGCCCCCCGGCCCGGAGACCTGGCCCGCCGCCCTGCCAGTGCTCCCTCCCAGCACCTCCTGGAGACAGCGGCCACGTATTCTGCTCCCCTCCTCCCCCCCAACCCCGGCTACAGCTCTCCCACCCCCTGTGCCCTGACCGTGCGGCTGAGCCCCTCCTACCCACCCCAGGCGGGGGTGGCCTTGACTCACCCCGGCCCCCTGGCCCCCCTTCACCCAGCCCCCCGAACAGCCTACTCCACCGCATACACCGTGCCCATGGAACTCCTGAAGCGGGAGCGGAGCGTGGCCGCCTCCCCGCTGCCCAGCCCCCACGGCAGCCCCCAGCTCCCGCGGAAGCCCAGCGCCCCCAGCGAGCCCGCCGCGCCGCCCGTCAGCCAAAGCCTCCACACGCCGCACTCGCCGCACTCTCCGTACCAGAAGGTGGCCCGGCGGACCGGAGCTCCCATCATCGTCTCTACCATGCTCGCCACGGAACCAAGTAACCTGTCCTTCCCACTGCACTCAGCTGGGGGCTCGAGCAGCCGGGGAGGGTGTAGAGGCCAGAGCGCGCGGGGGCCGGGGGGTGCTCCCCAGGGGCGCTACGCAGGCCCCCCACACCAGAAAGTCCTGCTCTGGCCAGTTCCCGGGCAATGGGCCCACCCCCTGGCGTAGCAGCCCCTGTCCACCCCTGGTGGATGGGCGGATGTCCCTGTATGGTCTGGAAGTGTAGCTGTCTTCCTGGTGGCTCAGAAGTCTCCAATCCGGCCGTCTGGTTTGGTGCTCAGGGGTAATTCTGCGGATTCCGTGGAGTGGCTTTGGAGACGGCAGGGTGTTTGAGCGTGTGGAGGCGCACACCTCTGCAGTGCCCACACACACTGCGAAAAGCAGCGGTTACCCGCCGCGGAGACAAAAATGTGTGTATTTCCACACTTGTGGGTTAAACAAGGCAAGATGTTGAAATCGCTTAGAACTCACTGTTTCAAAACCATATTTAGTCTCTCATCTGGGAAGATGCAGCTGGGAATTCTGCTTGCTCGTAGGGAAGAACGTATTACCAGGTTGAGGAAAATCCCAGCCGTGCTAGATGGATTTCTTCAAAGCGTGAACCAAATGTAACTGATCACACGTCTTTTGTGGGTTGTCGTTAATCATCCTCTGAGCAATTAGGTTTCTTGTATTTTAACTCTTGACTGGAAATCGAAAATATGTCCATTATCTGCCTCCCGACACAGTTTAGAAAACAGTTCTTTTAGATTAATTGCCGTGTTTTCCTGGGCATCTGGCGTGAGTGGAGCGCTGCCTTGCAGACAGGTCTCCCGGAACCTTCCGTGCACGGGTGCACCGAGCTGGACGGAGCACGGCGAGCTTGCTGCTGTCTGTCAGGGCTGCCGTTTTTGCTCCCCTAGCTTTACCTTCCCAAGGGTTCCCAACCTCTGCATGCACTCTTCCTAAGAATCCAGCTTGTCTTCCTGGATTTTTTTTTTAATGTACTAAGAAGGAAGTCCGAGGATAATTTTTCCAAGGGCCCCATGCCTCCTCCTCTCCCAGTCATTCTTTCTTTGCAACCAACTAATTTGCATGGTGATGACATTTGTTGCTCCAGTAATTTCATCTGATAATGGCTGGGCTTGCAAAGCGGATCTGAAAACATATTCCTTAATTATGTGTTGCTAAGCAACCAGAGGGTTTGGTCATAATCACAGATTATCTCCTCCTTGAAGTCGCGGAAAGGTTTTGCTGAAGGAGGACCTGCAAAATTGCCTTCTTCTCTCTCCCCCCCCCTTCTGTTTATTTTTGCAGTGTCTTCTAACAAAAACACTCACTGTTGTTTGGGTGTGGGGTGAGGGTTTCATAAGCTGTTTAGAGTGTGATTGTTAACACACTCTTTCGCAGACCGAAGGATATTGATTTTGATTTCGTGTGCGTGCCAGCACGCCAGCGCCGAGGACGTCTGCCAGCAGATGAGTGTCTCTGTCGAGTGATCTGTCCCAGAGCACCCGTTGTCATCTTGGTTCCTTCTTGTGCGTCCCGCGTTGCATGACGGCTGCCCTGTCCTGGCAAGGGGCGGGCTGGGTCCTTGGCTTCCTGCCCTCTCAAAGGCCGGGGGCAGGAGCCCTGGGCTGGGGCAGGCTCTGGGTACCGGTGTGCCAAGAGGATAATGCTTTCATTAAGCCAAGCACAGGGACCTGAGGTCTGTACCCATGGCCCACCTCTCCTGAGCCTGGAGACGCCATTCTCTTCTTGTTGACGCCCAGCCGGGTTACTCATCTGCAGCACCACCAGCCTTTACCGAGTTAGTGTTGGCATCCCATCCTGAAGGAAGAAAGCTCCCTTCCTTCAGACCATCGGGAGAGGCGATGGTTTATAGCGGCGCTGCTGCTGCTGCTTTTGTTGTTGTTGCTGCTGCTGCTTTGGCTCTCCCCCCACCACCTCCCCTTGGTTTTTTAAACCAGTAGGCCTGTGTTTGCCAGCCCAGCCCATTGACCAGGCAGTCAGCAACAAGGCAAAGTAGGCTGATGTGCTGGGTTGTCTGGGTTCTGTTTGAACCCTCATGAGCGACCGCCTGGTGGGTCCCCCCTCGCTCCCACACTCGCTTTGCTGACTGGCATGCATGGCCCAGCCTTCCCGCGGTGGCCGTCACGTGTGGTCACCCACAGCCAATGTTGTTTGCTGCTCTGGCTCCTGTGTGCCAGGGGTGGGGAGGGAGGGCGATACAGACAATGAGGTAGCAAGCAGCCATCTTCATGTCTCCCCCAAGGGCATCAGAGCCCCGCCCACAGAGCACCCCACCCACGGACAGAGCCCACAGTCCGGGAGCCTTGAGTGAGCAGCTGCCATCCCTGCCAGTTTTCACAGAAACAGGTCTGTTTTCCATGAGCCAGTTTCTCTTCGTGTACTTGGTCTGAAGTACCAACCACAGAATGTTCAGAGCTCCTTGCTCATCAAGGGGCTCCTTGCTAAATTAGGAGTCCCAGGGAGACCCCAGGTGGTAGCAGCGGTGTGTGTCATTCGTGTGATCTGAGCAGCTGATGCACGGGTCAGTAGAGCAGTGGGGAAGCTTTCACGGTTGGCCGCCTGTCCCTTATCGCCCTGAACATGAGGGGAGAATTCGCAGGTTTCTTGCCAGTAAGTGGGAGACTTGCCGTAGATTTACAATGACAAACATCCACTTGTGACCCGTGCATGGCTCCTGAGCCACACATCCACTTGTGACCCGTGCATGGCTCCTGAGCCACTCTGCCGTCTGATTCTCATGGTGAAGCTCCTGTGGCATTTTCCTGTGTGGTCTTTGGTCCACGAGGATCTGAGCCTAGCTGTCAGCAACAGCTGTAGGACACAGGAAAAACTGAACGGACAGAGGTAAAGGCAGGAAAAGATGCAGCCAGAACACAGCCTTCCCGGTAGACCTGTCCAAACGAAGACAACAGGTGTGCGGATTTCTCCGTGGGCTTTCTAGCATCAGCAGGAAATCACTTATGTTGGTGTGTGGTGGTTCATGCCTCTAATCCCAGCTGCTGGGAAGGTAGATAGAGATTGAGTAACAGTAACAGCAAGTTAATGAAGCCCCATTTTACTCATGAGTCTGAGCAGGGCTAGTCTACCTCTGGTTCCCTCACAAAACCTTGTCTGAGCATTAAGCTTACTATTCCGTCTGGAGTACAAAATAAATCTTGTTTCTTGTTTGGGTTGGGGTAGTACTCTGTTCACAAGAACAGATCTCCCCGCCATCCCCGGGACAGCGGCTTGCTTTTGCCTTAGGTCTTCGCCAGGGCCTCGTTCTAGTTAAGTTGCTGCCAGCCGGCTGCCCCGTGCTACTGCCTCCAACTGACCCTGACCTCTGAACCCCACTCCCTTCCTGAGGGGATTTTGTTTTTCCGTGAAGGAATCCCCGAGTTCCCAGTGTCTTCCTGTGAATGGCTTTGAGCTCGGGTTGCTTTAGAAGTCTTGGGAGTTTAGGGGAAGTGGCAGGCGAGGAGGGGCTGTAAGCCCGGGAGGTCATCTTCCTGCCCAAGTGCCAGCTGCCACCGAGCAGCCCCGCTTCCCAGCAGCCTGGAGCTGGGCCTCGGGCTGCCCTAGCACGGAAGGGCAGCGGGGCTGCTTTTATGGGCAAGGAAAAGCGTGGGGCTGCCCAGGTCCGAGGGGAGCCATGTGATCTCTTCCTGGAAGGACGATGGGCCAGCCACCTCATCTCAACCAGAAGCCCCAGAGCCGCGGGACCTGGGGAGGATCTGTGTGTGCTGCAGCCTGCTTGCTCCTGGGGTCCTCGGCCGCAACAGGACCTGCCAAGACCAGACCCTTTTCCTGAGCTCTGCAGGGACTCCGGTCCGTTCCCAGACTCACCCACATAGACTGGGGGGGGGGGGGGGGGGCACGCTGCTCGGGAGCCGCCTGTGCTGTCCTCAGCTTCCTGAGTTGTTCAGCTCTTCTCTGCCCACAGCACCGGCGTGCTGACGGCATACCTGACTGAGCCAGAACCCACCCTTCTGGGGCCCGGGAGGAAATGTCCAGAAGACAGCCTTGCGCAGGGACCCCTTGCAGAGCGTTGCTCTGGGGGGCAGTGGTAGCGTTTGCTGCCTGTGGCTTTGGGGTGGGTTTGGAGCAGGGCTTGCTCTCCCATGCAGTTTTGGAGAGAAACCATGAAGCCCCGCTGTGCTCTAGGTAGTCAGTTGGGGGGCAGGGCGGGGCAGCCAGTATGGCGCTGCCATTGCTTCTCACTGGTTCTATGGATCGATGCCTGAGTCTCAGCAGTAAAGGAAGGAGGCGCTCCACGGAACCCCACGGATGCCCTGGTCCCCAGACGCCCTGCCAAGGGCAGCAGAGCACAGCTTCCACCACCATCTGAATGAGTGCCAGCCAGTGCCAGTGCCCAGGACTTTCTAGGAAGATGCCTGCTGTGGGAAGCCCTGGGGAGCAGAGGCAAACCTCTCTGTGCTGGTTTTGCTGTCTGGGATGAGCCCTGCTCCCTGAGCTTGTCTCCGGTGCCCATGGGAAGGGCGTCCCTCAGGCGGCTGGGCATGGGTGGGCACAGGCAGACACTTCCCGGCGGGACCGTGTCCCTGTCCCTTGTCTGAGGTTCAGAAGTAGGAATGGGTGGCCAGTTATTCCGCTTTGTGGCCAGAGGCTGAGGTTGGGTGCTCAGCTCCTGGAGGCCGACAGGCCTAGAAATCAGTCCTAGTCACACTTGCTCACTGGGTGTGTTCAGCTGACCGCCCAGTGCCCTCTTCCCTGTTGGAAGAACAGGACCTGCCGCCGCACAGGCAGGCCTGGGCACTGCAGTGACCGAGAGGAGGTGACAGCCATGGCGGTGGTCGGGAGCCCAGGGGAAGGGTGTGTGTTTGTGTCAGGGCAGACCACCGTCCCCTGCTGCATCGCTCACACCTCCATTTCCATGTGTGTTCTTGGCCGTTGGTGCTGCATGACTCAGTAACTTGGATAAAGTACTGAAGATGAGTTACAGGAAGTGGCCGGCAGGGGCTGGGCACCAGGCACCAGCTGTGCACAGATGTGGCCCGTCCTTCCAGCCGTCACTGCCGGTCAGCTTGTGTCCAACAATGTGGCACGGAACGTGTCCCACCAGAGATGAGCACCACCCACCCGTGACCTTTTGAGAGCTGGGTTCGAAGCCCAGAACCTCCCAGTTCAAAGGCTCTGGGCCCCGTCTGGGTGGCTGCCACCCCTGCTGCATGCGCAGCGTGAGCTCCGGGGCGGTGGTCAAAAGACCCCACCCACCCTGGCCGCCTGCTCAGTGACCCCATAGAACCTTGAGACTTGAACACCCCCTTTTTTCCTGGGGCTCCTGCGTTTTGAATGTTGTCACTGGTCAAATCCTGAGCATCGTCTCAGCAGTGACTTGGGGGTCCACGCTTAGGATGGGGGGGGCGGGGAGGTGTTTGCCTCTGAGCCTGCTGGGTCTCTGTTAGGAAGGGGAGATCACATGGTGCATACGAGCAGGGTCTTGACCTCTCGTGGAGAGCCCACCGTGGAGAGCGGGGATGAACCGCCACGCACAGCTCAGCTCCTCCTTGGGGCGGGGCCGCAGGCGTCTCCGGAAGCGCACTGTAGCTGCTATGCCCGTAGTCCTGGCTGCTGCTGGGCAGGGCAGCGGGCGGTGAGCAGTGGGTCCTCCAGACCTGCAGCCAGCGATACCACACGGCAGATCACCGCGGACAGCGCTGCCCTGTCGCTGGCTACAGGCTCCACTACTTTTTTTTTGTTTTTCGGGGGGTCCGGTTGTGGGGCCTGAACTCTGGGCCTGGGCACCGTCCCTCAGCTCTTCAGCTCAAGGCTAGCGCTCTACCACTTGAGTCACAGCTCCACTTCCGGCTTTTTTCTTTTTTCTTATGTGGTGCTGAGGAATCGAACCCAGGGCCTCACGCATGCAAGGCAAGCGCTCTACCACTGAGCCAACTTCCCAGCCCTCCGCTACTTTTTTCACTTTGTGTATGTGTAGTTTGGGTTGTGCATGTCTTGAGTTTCACAGCTTAGGATAATTCCTGCGGTGTGGCAAATCCGGTGCCTGGGGACGGCTCCGCGCTGCCCCTGTGGTTGCACCTGGCCCCAGTCCTTTCCTGACCAGCCTGGCTTTGAGCGCAGTCCTCAGATCTCAGCATCCTAGGTAGCTAAGATTACAGGCATGCACTCCCGGCGTCCAGCTCGTGTCCTGTCTTGTGTTTGCTTTTTCCAGTCCTGGAGCTTGAACTCAGGCCCCAGGCGCCATCCCTGAGCTTCTCTGTGCTCAAGGCTAGCACTCTACCACTTGAGCCAACGCTCCACCTCTGACTGTTTCTGGATGTGGTACTGAAGAATGGAACCCAGGGCTCCATGCATGCTAGGCAAGCGCTCTACCACTGAGTCCCAGCCCCAGCCCTTGTGTTTGGTCTTAAATGCACCGTCCTCTGGAGGCCAGGCGTTCGGATGGAGGCCTTCCTTCTTGCAGTTTGTCTTGGATTGTGGAGCTCATGTGAGGCCTTGCCCAGCATCCAGCACCCTGCCTGGGACAGCAGGGGAGGGCAGCCTGACCTCCTTCCACTCTGTTCCTTCTGGGAACATGTGCCTGTTTCCTTACTCCATGCCAGACATCTGCTGGGCCCCTTGGAGCCCCTTGGAGCCCCTTGCAGTCCCACACAAGGGTTCTTTGTGGTGGAATCTTCCCTACCACTCACCCTCCCATCTTCCCTCGCCATCTTGCGCTCTGCCTCCCCAGGGTCCTCTCTGCAGCCAATCCCTTCTGTCTCCATTTCCTGCCTTGTTATAAAGGTCTTACAGCTGGAATAAATCCACTGCTAGGTTAGAGCTTGGGTACATAGGGTCTAACTTCCACTGAAGGGGACAACTAAGGTTGGGTGTCTCCAAGGAGAAAGGCCACCAAAGTCAGGGAGGGAGGTGGTCGCTAGGCAACCTAGTTTGTCGCCCAGGTAACAACATCCATGAGATGCTGTGGACGCCACTCTCCGCCGGCTCTCGGTTCCTGCCTCGTGCACACCTTCGCCTGTGTCCGCGCCTGCTGCACTCATCCCGGAGGAAGCTGGGGGGGCTTCTTGCCTGTAGCTCCCCACATGTCCTCTTTGCTTCTTCGCAGAAGGAAAGAGCTGAGATGGGAGCCGATAGGAGCCTCCGTTTCCTTGCATTTATCATTGCACCACCACTGCCCGCCTCGCAGGGCTGAGAGCGCGACTGGGGGGCTGGAGGCCTGCCTCCCTCCCCAGTGGAGGTCAGGGTGCTTCTGGCCTGCACCTGGGTCCCATAGGCTCCTCTTCCTCTCTCCTATCGGGGTGAAGAGGCTGGCACACCTGAGTCTTTTTGGGTTCCCCCTGACGGGCATCTGGTGGTCCATAGCAGGGAAACAATGGTTGTGTTCTCTGCTGGTGAGGGGGTAGGGGCTGCGACCTTGGGACTCCACAGTCCCTGAGTCTTGATCGTGATGTACAGCTGTGTGCTGTCCCATTTTGGGGCTCCCTCTTCAGGTCTGAGCAGCCGTGAATGGTGTCAGTGACCCATTGCACCCCAAACTCCAGGAAATAGAGCAGTTCAGCTGAGCAACCCAGGTGTTTTCTTTGGATTTCTGGGTTGCAAGAGCAGGGGTAGAACTCACAGGGCGCCTGGCCGCAGGACATGCACAGCATGAAGGCACAGACCTGGCCTCTCAGGACCTTGAGCCAGCGTCGGGCAGCTGCTGCCACGCATCTGCGATGCACCGGCCGAGCCCCGCTCCGCCTGTTTCACGCCATTCCCCTCCCCTGCAGGTATCCGACCCCAGATCATGAACGGCCCCCTGCACCCCCGCCCCCTGGTGGCACTGCTGGATGGCAGAGACTGCACCGTGGAGATGCCTATTCTGAAGGACCTGGCCACCGTGGCCTTCTGCGATGCACAGTCCACTCAGGAAATCCACGAGAAGGTGAGCCGCCCCACCCCGCAACAGCACTGCCCAGTCCCCAGCAACTCCCCAAGCCTCCGATTCCTAACGCTCCTGTCCGCCTTTGTGCGCAGGTGTTAAACGAGGCCGTGGGAGCCATGATGTACCACACCATCACCCTCACCAGGGAGGACCTGGAGAAGTTCAAGGCACTCAGGGTCATCGTGCGCATCGGCAGCGGCTACGACAACGTGGACATCAAGGCTGCTGGCGAGCTTGGTGAGTGAAGGCTGGCGCGGCGCGGCGGCTACTCTTCAGGGCTTCGTGACAGGGCTGTCCCTCGTGACAGATGGCATGGGCCCATCCCCCACCCCTCCCCACCCCCAACGACCCAGCCTATCAACACTGAAGACAAAACCATGGGCTCCGCCCCAGGCAGGAGTGCACATGGCCACAGGTCACCTTGTGTCACCTCCCACTCGTGGGCTCAGGCAGGCTTAGCCTGAGCACCCCCAGTCTCTCTGGGAACAGGAAGAGCTCCAGCCACTCACCCTGTGTACAGGGCGGTAGAGCGCCGCACACAGCCCTCTCTACCCTCCTCCCCCAGCTAGGAAACCACAGCCCACCCGCGCTGCTGAGCCTTGAGTTTTCCATGGCCCCTGGGCCTGTTCTCTACCAAGCTATCCGCAGCCCAGGTGGAAGGTCAGGATGCTTGGCCTCCTTTGCAGGACTCTATTCTCTTCCAGCAGATGTTCTTTCCTCCAGGATGTTTGTGTTTTAAGGTTGCAGTGGCTCGTTCTAAGCTCAGCTCTTCTCGCTGCAGCCTCCAGGCATTACAAAAAAAAAGGAATAGTTGCATTTTTGCATCAAACCCTAAAGTCACATAAAAAGAAACTCTGCAATCACACCTGGCTCCCATGGGGGGCGGGGGCAGGGAGGAAGCCCTGAGCAGGGTCCAGTTTGCAGACTTCAGTGAGCTTGGCCCTTGTTACTATCCCTCCCCCCCCCCAAGTCCTGCAGGGTGGGGCTGCTCTAATGTCCATGGGTCGGGCAGGCCTGAGAGGAAGCTGCTCAGGTGCAGGTGCTAGAGTAGAATGGAGGTCCTGGACTCCATAGGCCATGGGATCACTGAGCAGCACCCGCACCCGCACCCTGGGAAATGGTGAGCAGTGCAGCCGCTCACTGCCTCCCCTGCAAGGACCGCAGTGACGTCGACGGCTTCCTCACCGCCCTTGTCCTCCACAGGTATCGCCGTGTGCAACATCCCGTCGGCAGCCGTGGAGGAGACGGCCGACTCCACCATCTGCCACATCCTCAACCTGTACCGGCGGAACACGTGGCTGTACCAGGCACTGCGGGAAGGCACGCGGGTGCAGAGCGTGGAGCAGATCCGCGAGGTGGCCTCGGGAGCAGCCCGGATTCGTGGGGAGACGCTGGGCCTCATCGGCTTTGGTAGGTGCCTCTGCTCCAGCCACCACCACCCCGTCCTGCGCCCTGGGAGGCTAGGTTCAACTTGGCAGCGGATGACATGTTCACAGGGGTCATAGGTCAGAGCCACTAGACCGCGAGAAGTGACAGTAAGGCTAATTCTCACAGTAAGGCCAGGTTGCAGAGCAAGCAGGTGTGTGCTCTGCTGTTGCCCCTCCAGCCGCTTCTGCAGGGGCTTCTCAGAGCAACCAAGCAGGCTGGGGACTGGAACTAGTTGTGGCTGAGTGGTGACCTGCACAGGGAGTGTACCCGGCGGCCATCAGCCTGGTGTGGCACAGGGATTCTTGGAAGATTGGAGCCAGAGGGTGGCCATCAGGCACCACCACCTTGGGAAGTGATCGTTCAGGATGTTTCCTTGGGGGCAGCCAAGCAAGACCCGATCTGCTTGGGCCTGTAGTTCGGGGCTGTTTGCACATGGAATACGGACCTCCATGGGAGGCCTGAAGGTTTAAGTGAGGGACTTGGCAGGTAACTGCAGAGTATGGGACAGGCCCCCCAGGCCTCTGGCACCAGCTCGCAGGCCTCGGGTCTGGGACGGTCCTTGCAACCGTCCTGTGGTCCCGGTGGGTTTCCTAAGGAAATTATGTGCACGCTGCAGTGCCCTCTGCTGGCATGCATCGGGCATCCCAAGAAAGCCATTTGTCAGCCCTTCCTGGGCCTGGGGGGCTGTTGGCAGCTGTCGTTGCTCAGCATCGTCTGAGTCTGGGCAGCCAAGCTGCTGCCCTATGATCCACCTGAACCTGGACCCCTCCCCCCCAGTCCCTCTGGGTCCACTGCAGACTGGCCTCCCAGAACTGGAAAAGACAGGGTCACTGGATGCCCACTTAGTGCCACAACCCTGTTAGGGACCCAAAGTCAGCCCTCCGCTGAGTCAGGCCCAGCTCCAGCCGTCGGCGCTGGCTCCCGGGGGCTGACTCGCAGTTCCACACAGACTTGGGTTCTGATGGCTTTTCAAGACCTGAGGTATTTTGACAGTAGATCTTTAGGCAGAAAGCACAGCTAACGTAGAGGCTGGTGAAGATGAGTGCGTGAAACTTATGAACCGCCACCACTGGGACGCACACTCAGCCCTGTCACCATGGTTGGTGTTAGCCTGGCCCTGGTGCTCAGGGTGGGTGGGCTGGCGTGGCAGCTACTCTCAGAGTGCAAGGCTGTCCACGGACCCTGCAGCCCTGTGGCTGCCCTGCTTCCTGCCTCCTGCCCCACCCAGTCCTGTGAAGTATTCCTCTGCCCTGTGCGGAGGGGACTCCAGCTCTGCTTAGCTGCATCCATGTATTCGTGATACGGTGATCCACTGGGACACTGCAGCTGTCCCTTGACCAGAATGGCTCTATCAGACCTTTGCTGCCAAACCACAACCATTACATTAGCTCAGTCATGCCTGGTCAGACGTAGCTTTGGGGGAGGGGTGCTAGTGTTCCTCAGACATCAACTTCCTGTGGGGAATGTCCTGTCTCCTGCCTGTCGATGGGAACAGGTTGTAGTAAAGATCAGTCCATGATCTCCTGAGGATCGGGCCATGGGTTAAGCTGAACGCTGCTCTGAGCACTAGGTACCTTCGGGGATCCCTGCATTTGTGCAAGTGATGGCCATTGGAGGTGCTTGTGGTATTGTGTGACAGCCACTATGACTTGTGCAGGCTCAGGCTGCCAGAAAGAGCTGGGCTGTGAGATTCCATCTGCGGGACAGGGCAGGCAATGGGAGATTCATAGGCCTACCAGGCACATGCTGCCAGTGTGCGCTTAGGCTAAATGATAATGCTCAGTTCTGATAAACCAGAGATAATTGAGTGGGGATATGTCCTGCCAGATACTAAGAAAGGCTGAGTAATATTCCTGCCATGAAGCCTGCTGTAATCCTGCATGCAGGAGGCCGGAGCCTAGGAAGGAAGGAAGGAAGGAAGCAAGCAAGCAGCATTGACTTAATCAAGTGCTAGTTGCAGTGGGGAGCCTGAGGGTCATTGAAACATTCTGATTGATTATAGATTGGAATTCTCCTTAAGAAGCCAGTTTGGTATGTAATATTCCTGCCGTGGCTCATATAAGCAGGGAACAGTACGGTGTTCACCAGGACTGGTGTTGCTCTTAGATGTGATTGTGTTGACTGTGTCTGCTCCCTCCGCAGCCAGCAGTGGGGTTGGTGGGCTCTCAGGGGACGGATGCCTCCGGACTCCTCACTCACCCGCACGTTCTGTCTCTGCACAGGTCGCACAGGGCAGGCAGTTGCTGTTCGAGCCAAGGCTTTTGGATTCAGCGTCATATTTTATGACCCCTACTTGCAGGACGGGATAGAGCGGTCTCTGGGCGTGCAGAGGGTCTACACCCTGCAGGACCTGCTGTATCAGAGTGACTGTGTTTCCCTGCACTGCAATCTCAACGAACATAACCACCACCTCATCAATGACTTTACTATCAAGCAGGTAACTGGCTATCAGATGTCCTCCCAACTCTGGAAGCTCCTGCTGAAAAGGTGGCCACAGCTGTTGGTCTGTACCATGAACAAAAGGGACTGAAAGATGGTTCGTGGACCAGGAGGAGCACAGGGCCAGCGGGCTCCCTTCAGGCGGGTGGGCGGGCGGGCCTCTGAGAGCACCAGTGTGCATGACCAACCACAGCTGCACCCTTCCTAGCCTTTAGGCAGCAACAAGAATTGCTACTCTTGCCACACACTGGTGGCTCACACCTGTTAATCCTAGCTGCTCGGAAGATTGAGTGCTCAGGATCACGGTTCAAAACCAGTCCAAGCAGTCTGTGAAACTCTTATTTCCAGCTAACTCCAGCAAAAAGCCCAAAGTGGAGCTTCTTGCTCAAGTGGTAGAGCACTAGCATTGAGCACGAAGGTCAGGGATAGGACCCGGGGTCTGAGTTGAAGCCCTAGTACCCGCAGTTTTAAAAAAAAAAATTGCTACTCTTTCCCCAAACTGTAGCAGGCACAGGAAAAATCCAGACCATCCAAACTCGATGTTTGCAGCTTTCTTCCTCGGCTGCGTTTCGAGCGGAGGTGACCAGCTTCTCTTTCCTTCCTAGATGAGGCAGGGGGCGTTCCTGGTGAATGCAGCGCGCGGCGGCCTTGTGGATGAGAAAGCCTTAGCCCAGGCCCTCAAGGAGGGCAGGATACGAGGCGCCGCCCTCGACGTGCACGAGTCAGAGCCCTTCAGGTGGGTGTTTGGCAGGCTGGCCGCTGGCCTCCTGCGAGGAACCGGATTCTCCTGCATTGAACTAACTCACTTTGTCATCTTAAGTGTAAACAAACGGCCACAGGATGGTGCTCATTTGGAGTTCATCCTCCGCATGCTTGGCTCTTCCCTTGTTGCCCATACCTCCCTCCCCCCAACTCCACTGTTCTGTTCCCAGCCCTGACAAAACACAACTCAATTCAACTCAGTTCTAACTGCATAGACAAAAGTTAAAACTTTCCCTGCTCGCTGACTTCTTTTCCATTTACCCTAGCTTTGCCCAGGGTCCACTCAAAGATGCACCAAATCTCATCTGTACCCCGCACACAGCCTGGTACAGTGAGCAGGCCTCACTAGAGATGAGGGAGGCAGCCGCCACGGAGATCCGCCGGGCCATCACAGGTGAGCCACGCTCTAATTCCACTGGAGACAGGTAGGTGCAGAAAGCGGGGCAGGGGCAAGGTAACTAAATTTTGCCTAAGCCAGGCTCAATGTCTGTAATCCCTGTCTGTCCCAATTATAGAGCACACCCCCTCCAGAAGCCCCCAAGGATGACGATAAACTCACTATGACCATTTACTCTAGGTCGCATCCCAGAAAGCTTAAGAAACTGTGTCAACAAGGAATTTTTTGTCACATCAGCTCCTTGGTCAGTAATAGACCAGCAAGCAATTCATCCCGAGCTCAATGGTGCCACATACAGGTGAGAAGAAGAACTGACGTTGGCTGGGGCCACCAGCTGCTTGCCTCTCTGGGAGAAAGGGAGGCCTGAAAAGACTGAAGTTGTGGGAGGTGAAAAGTTCACAGAACTAAGGAAGCCCTGGCTTCTTTACCAAGTGGGGATCCTGCACATGCTTCTCTCTTCTTGTCCAGTGCTGAATTTCTATAGAATAAACACGATTCTTTTCTAAAAGCTTTGCTGGTTTGAAAGCAACAGTCTCTCTCAAACTCATCCATCTTTTTGCCTCAGCCCTCCTGCATGCTGTTATTAATGGGTGTGATCCCCCATGCAGGAAGGAAGTTCCCGTTTAGAAAGGGCGGGTCTGAGGTCAGGCAGCCGGGTATCCTGCTCTCCTGGCATGCAGGTTTCAGCATGATCCGGCTGGACTGGCCACCGTGCCACAAGCTGCCCCTCCCGCTGAGCCCCTGAAATCACAGGTTTCAAGTAGCAATCAGATCTTCTAGAAAGCCCGTTCTGCCCATGGAAAGCCTCTGGCAGAGGTAGAGCAACAAGGGGAAAACCTTGACCACTGGAAAGACTGCAGAAATAGTTGTGAAGTTGGGAGAGAATATGGCTAAGTGGGATAAACTGATTTCTCTCCACTCCCACCCTATTGTGTCCAGGGGACATAAATGTCTCTCCGGGCATAAAGGAGAGGAGCTGTTTCTTTTTTCTCATATCGTGACTTAAAGGAGAGGAGCTGTTTCTTTTTTCTCATATCGTGACTTTCCCATATTTACATTTAGGACCAATTCATAATTCATTCTCTAAGGGTCTTAGCAGCATCTCTGGTCTCCACCCATTTGGGGCCAGAAGCACCTCCCACTCCCAATTGTGACAACTAAGAAAATGTCTAGGCCCTAACTACTGTGTACTGATTGGGCCTCACTTCTGGAGAACCCCCTTTTCATTGAGCATGTTTTCCCTCCCCTCCCCCCCCCTTGCCGATTTCCCCCAGGCATTTCTTAGCAGCCTCGCCTACAGGCCAGGTTCAGGCAGGGTATCTTTCATGGCCAGAGTTACTTTTGTCACCACCTACCTCGGTCAGTTTTGTAACTTTGGGGATGAGCATGACAATCCACCGGCGACATTTGTGCTCTAGAAGACTAAGGCAGACATGGCTTCCTCACACGCAGTGTAGTGAGCGCCACTCAGCCTGCAGAAGCCACCAAGTGACTATGAAGTAACCGTATCGCAGTTCTGGTCAGAACAAGATGCTGGCATCTTGTTCTAAGGACTCTGCCCACTCACAAGGTGGTGCCAAGCACTAAGTTGGGTTTCCCTTCCTCACCCTGGGGATTAGGATGTTTCAATGTATGAATCTGAGTCATTCAGTTCACTCACAGCCACCCATAGAAACCATAAGACCAGCATAACCCATGAACACCGCAAGGAAACCATACGCAACAGTTTACAAATGGTCCTCGTGGGAGATCCTCCTCCTGTCTAAAAGCCACGTCTCTAGTGGCTGAGAGTTGGGATTGATCGGTCAGTGTGCAAGGCACCAGGCTTGCATATAAACACCTACATTCCTCCTTGCTCGGGGTGCCCCATCACGGGGGAAAGGCCCAGGGCCCCCCAGGCTGACGAGCCCTTGTTCCCTCTGTTCACAGGTACCCGCCGGGCATCGTGGGTGTGGCCCCGGGAGGACTTCCTGCAGCAATGGAAGGCATCATCCCCGGAGGCATCCCGGTGACTCACAACCTCCCCTCCGTGGCACACCCCTCCCAGGCTCCCTCTCCCAACCAGCCCACAAAACACGGGGACAATCGAGAGCACCCCAACGAGCAATAGCAGACAATGCCGCACGAGGTAACCACTCAGATAAACTTGGGACCAAGAGACAGTGGCAAATGGATGAACTGAGAAAAGGAGTCTGACGGTCTTTCTAACAGATCCCTGGACATATGCATCATTGATGTTGCAGTGTTAACGCTACAGGAGCTAGAAAACAAGATGTTTGCTCCAGAAGTGCTGAAAGACGAGGACATGACTTATTAACGACCAACTTCTGTTATTGTGTGTTAAGTTTTCATCTGTGCATCCAATCACAAAGAATAAATAGAGCTTTTTCCTTTATCAGTCCCCTGGGCACAGCAGGTCCTGAGCAACTTGCTCGAGAATGTTGCATCAAGAGTTCCAAACATTGAAATAAAAATATTGAGAGGAAACCCCCACCTTGACTCTAGCCCCTTCGGTTTCCAGGGGCTTCTTACCTCTTTTTGCTAATAGGAAGATTGAGTTACTACGAAATGGGGGAAACTGTCTGCCTGTGTCAGACACATCGGCACACACAGGAACAAAGCCAGTACAGGCCTGTGCACGGAAGTTCTCTCCTCTGAACTGCATACTGAGCGGGCAAGTTGGTTGTAAGTTCAGTAATAACCTCTGATGCAAAAAAAAAAGAAAAAGAAAAAAATATTAAGTTTCACAAGCTGTTTGTACTCAAATCTATTTTCTCAGTTTCAGATCCTCAGCTATTTTATTGAGTGGGAAGTCTTGAGCTGCTAAAGTTCAAGAAGAATAATGTTGCATTTCCTTATGTCTCAGGAAACACTTTTTATGGTAACTTGTCAGATTGTCTATGAACAAACCCACTTTTTTAGACATTGATAAATTCTTTTCTTCACGTGATATTTTATACAAGAACACTTCAGATGTGTTATTAGATGTGACTGATTTTAACAAATCCTATTAGATTTGTATCAACTAGTTACATGTTCTATTCATAGTCTTTTGTGAATCATTGCCTTTTTGTTTAAAAAAGATGGCCTATTTTGAGCCTTTGTATAGGTACATTCCTGTTTTTGTGACAAAAGAAAAACTTTAAAACTGTCCCAAACAGAAAAAAATAATGGCTATCAGAAGTATGTTTTGTTTTAGTGTGAGTTACCGTTACTGTATTTGTTTATTGTAAAGGTGGACATTTAGCGTTCAGTGCAGTTTTCAATAAAAAGTAATTAAAATTTGTTAAGTTCTGAAATTCAAGTACATCTCACCAGTGTAAAAGCTCTTCCCTTGAGATGTGTAAAGGAACTGCATTGTCAGTTAGCTGGTTTCTACCTGCCCGGCCCACAACCAGACTCAAGAATACTGACAGCATGGGTGGAAAAGCAAGACCTTACCCTTTACACTAGTCAAGTGCTGCTGTCCTTGAAGGCCAAGGTCAGCCTGTAAATTAATGTACGTTAAGCACAGGAAGGACCAAGAACCTAACAATTGATATTTACAAAAAGTTGAGAAGTAACAGCCGTTTCCACGTCCTTTTAAAACACATTATGCTTCCCCCCCCCCCCCCCCCCCCCCCCCCCCCCCCGCCCCTCGTTAAGCAGGTGTCTCCCAAGCGTCAGCCTGTGGGACCTTGTCTTGCTCATTTTTGGTCACAGCCTCATCCCAACCCTGCCATGAAAGTTATCTGGGCCTTTTATTTCAGGGAGCAGAAAAGGCAGTTTAGTGTTTTCTGTATAACCACTTTGTCAGAGCCCCCAACCATGTACACACGGAAGTATTTAGTGTATAACCCAAGAAACACTGGCCCTGAGGAGTAAAAAATAGAAAACAGCAGGTCTCAATCCATGGTTTGCCTGGGTTTTGTTTAATTAGATCTTGCTTGCTGCAGCAGCCCTTTGAAAAGTATTATATATGTAAATTGATTCCAAAGAAGGAACAGATGAAAACAGTAAACACCATACTGGTTTCACTCTAGAAAAAAGAACCAACCAAAAGTCCACATGGTTTAAGTGTTGCTACCTAATGCCATATAGAGACATATTTGCCAGTCACCTTTGACAAAGGACATCAAAAACTCTAACTTGGGATCATAATTATGGCCTTTTAATAGTTCAAGAGCTTAACATCGCATTTGATTTACCAAAATTTTGGCCTTTCAACAACCATTTGGTCTGCTGTGAAGCCATTTAAAAACCCCATTACTGGAGTCTAGGAAATGGAGCCACCTTCAACTTTCTCACAGGAAAGAATGTGCCAGAACCACCAGTAATACAGAGCAACCTTAAAGGGGACGCAGCAACCACACACAGGAGACGCTTGGTGGCAAGGCTGTGGTGGGACAGCACTTCAGTGCAACAAACCCAAGACATTTTTCCTGCTAGCATTTTCGTGGCTTCTCCACTTAGTAAGGCATTTTGCTTGGGGAACCAGGTTGCTGTGCTACACCCACACCCACCCTCCCCCCATGAGGGAAACAGTCAACTGCAGATGCGATGGTAAACAGTCCCAATAGAGCCTAAAAACTTGGCTATTAACTGCCGGCCAAAATGAAAATGAAAGCATCTAGAATCAATCTGTAAGAAGCGTAGCACCATTGCTCTAAGGCCCCTCTATATGGACTGCTGCAAAAGGCCTTCCCCTTGCGAGTTTCAGCATGCAGCAAAAATAATCCTTTTGCCCCGAGGACACCTTTTCAGAGTATACACTGGAGAAAGAATGGAAGACATGACAGGTTGTGGACTATTCTGGGTTTTTAGTTTTTTTGCAAGAAATTTGTGGTTGTGCAAAGTTCATGACAATCGAAAAAGCAGCAAATAACTAAAGGTTTCCACAGCCTTTTATCAAAAGGTGTGTTGGGGTGTCTCAAAGGCAAGCTTCTTGCACTTCAATCTTCCACAAAGTGCTTGGGTGAACACTAAGTCAGCCTTTGTGTTCCTGAGATCGGTTAGAAATCTCTACCCAGTACTGAATGCATACCTGATGTGGTCTTTCTGAGAGATAGTTTTAACTTTAAGTTAATAAAGAATGGCTACAACTAAACAACATGCAAAAATTCTCAGACTACACAAAGTCATCATAGAATACACTGACCACCTTCATTCAATCCATTTTCAAATTCTTTATTCTGAACTGGCATTCCCAATCTGCCTGAGCAAAGGGCCACCCTGCTAACAGCACTTGCTTAGAGCAGAGGGGATAATAAGATACGGGAAGAACCCAAGAACCCTCTGCATGGCAATCGGGGAACAGAACGTTGTCCGCAGGGCCCACGGGAACAAATCTCATACAAGCCGGCCTGCTCCCTTCCCATCCAGGGAAACTCACAATGGACCACTGCCCAGAGTCTGGCCCCTTATTTTGGGGCACTCTTCCAAACAAATAAATACCTAAATACTAAAAGGGGGGGGTGAGAGAATCAGAAAACTTAAAAGGCAAAGGAAACCAAAACCTCTTCAAAACAAAGAGGCAGAATATATATATGGAGTTCATTCAATTAAAAAAATTAATTAGCTTTTTCTTGTAGTTTGTCCCTAAAAGATTTGATTTGATTGGGCACATATTATTAAAATAAAAGGCTTGTTTATTTCATGTTTTGGTGTGGGTAATTTGTACAGTTTCCACATTGCTGAGACTTCGTGTAAATTAGATCTTGTAAGGTCAAAGTAAAACGCCGGGTTCTATTGAAGACAGTATCTCAAAAGGAGTAAGAGTTTTCTGCCATGTGCTTTTTTTGTTAGTGCCCATGCTGGGAAAAATTCTCAATATGGAGATGCTGGTACAATTTTTCCTATTTCACAATTTCTTACACAACCACATGCGTTACATTATAGACAGATTTACAATTTCAAAGGAAAAAAAAGGTCTGTCAATAAAATTAGGTTTGGGGGGGTTTTTTTGTTTTTGTCTTTTTGTTTGCTTTTTTTTTTTTTTTAACAAACTGTAGTTCAACCCAAGTTCTCTGTCTCCTCATGCAGCAGATGCATTAATTATCTCCACTGGGTGTGGACCAGAAAAATAATTGTGAGCAGATCCTTCTGGATCTGGTTCTTTCCACGCTGTGCACTCTGCTTGGAGCACCACACTAACTGGGGGTCAGGTCACCACAGATCTGATGCCCTGGTCCGCTCCTTGATAGCCTTCACTCATCTTCATCATCCTCATCTTCCTCTCCATCAGACAGGGACGCGCACGGCCGGATCTGCCGATAGCGATCGAGCCACTTCTCTACCATCTGCGTGACCAGGGGGTGGTTCCGCCGCCCGGAGCTTTTCTGCATGGCGACCAGGACGCCACCTTCCGTCACACAGCAGTCCAGCCACTCCCGGAGCAGCTTCTCCTGCTGCTCCTCATTACCTAGCTTTTAGAGGAGCGTGAGGGAAAGGAAAAAGAATGCCCAGATCAGGTGTGAGAACAGCCTACAACATGTTTAGTGACAATGAAAAGGCCAAAGAGACCAACTGTTCCCACAGGATGGCAAACTCTTTAACTGTTAAATCAGTGTAAAAATCAGGAAAAGCTGAAGGGAAGAATTCCTTAAAAGGTAATTTAAGGTAATAACAACAAAAAACAATTTTTTTTTAAAAAAAAAAGCCAAAGTCACAGCTTCAAGAAGGTAAGTTTACTAGGTAAATGTTCTACAGGCTGAAATTGTACAAGTTACGGTCTCTGGATTTTTCCCAATGTTGTGATTATAACATTCTATGAGTTTTACTACAGTACTGAATAAAAGCAATACTTTCGTAAGAACTCAGGCTGCAGGTGTTCTTTGTTCACTGTCACTGCCCCTTGTGGACTGATGCCACGCTCCAAGAACAGGTCATGCCATGCCTAGGCCTCGGGCCTTGTCAGCCAGCCAGTGTTCCTCCTCGGGCACACAGGCTGTCTGCTGGCTTCCTATGCCTCGGGTTCAAAAGCCCTAATGAGCCAGCTCTGCCACACCTTACTGCTTCTGCCTCCACCTTCTCAGCCAGTCATGATTCTTAGGCTCGGCTGCTGGGTTGCTTGCTGGCCGGGTCCTGGTCCTTACCGCACTATTTAAGCTTAAATCCTTGTGCTTTTTCTCCTTGGCACTTACGCCACCTGAAGGGAAGGACTTCTTTCTGTCCACACTGTTTTGTCAAGGGAAATTCTGAAGTCTTAAGCGGTGAAAGTCACAGTTACTCCAAAACTTAGGAATGTAACTGGTGGTATAGCTAACTGGCGTGTGGAAGGGAAGGTTCTGTGTGAGATTCACATGTGAAGAGAAAACCACCGCTTACCTCCTGAGCAGAAAGAAAGTGCACGTGGAGTAGTTTCCTCTCACTGTCGACCAGAGGCAAAAACGTAATGGTGATGTCATCATCGGTGTTTAGGTTAGCACCAGCACCTCGGTTGCCATAGCCATCATTTTCCATGGCAACCAAAGCAGAGAAGTGGCCCCTTGTATAGCCCAGAGCAATTGGACTTTTCCAACAAAAACTCTGTTCCCACAACAAAGGCAGATAAACCCCTAGGAAGGAACGGAGGAAAGCACGGAAGTGCAAGGACCTGAACCAGCCCACTCCCCTCCTTCCCGTGTCCACATCCCAATGCCGCCAACATCGGAGCCGTTCTTCCCCGATATACACTCTACTGCGTGTATACAGAAGCCATCATGGCCAACTAGATTCTGTAAATGATGGCTTACCTTGAAACCGAGTATATCCTAAAGTCTCTCCTCGGAAGCTCTTATAGTATTTTACTCCATAAACTATAATTGGTCGTCTAAGAATATGTGCAAGTACAAAAATGTGTGTCTGCTCCAAACTTGCTCCAGGCTGCAGAGAATAACACAAAGGTAGTTTCTCTTTCAATGAGAGCAATATGACTGTTACCAGAAGTTGCAGCCTGACTCCCCCAAGTGCGAAGTCCAAGAGAATAGTAATAAAAATCTGCAATTGCCCGAACACAGGTATCTCTCACTGTCCAAACTCACAAACCAAACAGATAGGGTAAGAAATTCGTATATAAAACCTTTTGTTACGTTTCCTTCTTACAAAATGACAGGGCAGTGTTACATGAGTTAGGAAGCAACACATAGTCTGGGGTACATTTCTCAGAGTAAAAATTACTCGCAGCTCCTTCCTAGGCTCAAGTAGAAAGTACTTTGTCACTTCTTGGGGTTCATCTGGGCCTGAGGAGATGCTGCATGGAGTGCACATCGGGCCCCACCTCAGGGCTTCTTTCACCCAAGAGCAATCGTTCAGTAACTGGACATCAGTCCTCACCACACCTACAAGAGCTAACCAGTAGGAACCGCACAGGCCTAAACCCTCCAACTCTAAGGCAGAATGGAGAGCAAGGTCAGACTGGGTAATGTTTAGAATGGTCCTGTGGCGAAATTTCATTTTATCATTTCCCACTTGACAAGAAATACCTTTCTGATTCAATCAAACAAGGCTTGAAGTATCCTTACCTGACTCGCGAGAGAAAGTATAAATGCCCAGTCTTCCTGCCACTGTTCTTCTCTCAGTGAAAAATGTAAACCAAAGCTCTGCGAATACCACGACTCCCAATCTTTCCAGCGTGTGTAAAACCTAACAAGCAAAATGGCAAACAAAACAGCAATAAGAATAATAATGCCTTCTATAAGTAGCACACTTAATTTTCTAATCATTTACTTAATGTGGTCTAAGCAGCCATTAAGTGCCTTAATTTTATCTGCCATACGATTAACAATGCCTTTTTTGCCGGGCGCTGGTGGCTCACGCCTGTAATCCTAGCTACTCAGGAGGCTGAGATCTGAGGATCGCGGTTCAAAGCCAGCCCGGGCACGTAAGACCGTGAGACTCCTATCTCCAATAAACCACCAGAAAACCGGAAGTGGCGCTGTAGCTCAAGTGGTAGGGCGCTCACCTTGAGCTGAAGAGCTGAGG